GAGAGAGAGAGAGAGAGAGAGAGAGAGAGAGAGAGAGGGCGAGAGGGAGAAGGAAGAACAAGAGCGCCACGTTGGTTGTGATCGATGACAGACGATGTCAAGCGAGAAGGCAGATGAGCACCCTTGTCAGTGATAACAGCGAGGAGGAGGCAGGAAGAGAGAGGGGGGAGAAGGGTGGCAGGAATACGCACCAGGGCGAGGCATGGCCCCACTGCCAGGCAACGAGGCAGGGGGGTGGGTGGCGATGCGCAGAGGGCGCACGGCGGTGGCCGGGGTCGCGGACGCAGCAGCCACAGCAGGAGCAGGGGCAAGCGTGGGCCGGACGAGCAGACGCGGACGAGCCGAGCTGCCGGCGGTGGGCATATGCTGGATCGGCAGCGGGATGTGCTCGTCGTGCGATGCCTCGGCGGTGGGCGGGGCAACGGGGATGACGGCCTCCGGCGCGCTGGGGGGCGCATCGGCCACGGCAGGGACAACGGTCGGGGCCGCGGTCTCGGCGTCCGGGGCGGCGTCCGGGGCGGCGTCCATGCGGCCGGCGCGCTTCTTGTTGGCCGCACGGGTGGTCGTGCGGGAGGGCTTTGCCGGGCTGGCGGCGGCCGGGCCGGGGTCCTCACTGGCCTCGGCCGGCTCGGCCGTCGACTCCGGCGTGGCGGCAAGCCCGGCCGAGGAAGGAGCAGGGCCCTTGGCCTTGGCGGCAATGGCCGAGTAGCTGAAGCCCGAGGAGGGAACCGGGGTCGAGGCCTTGGGAGCCGGGGCGGCGGCGGCGGCGGCCGGGACAGCAGCCAGGGCGGGGGCAGCCGCCGGGGCAGAGGCAGCCACGGGGCCCGGGGCAGCGGCAACGACAGGCCCGGTGGCCGGGCCATCGGTGCCGTCGGCGGTCGCCGAGCCGCCATCCGGCGAGACGGCCTTGGCCGGACGGGGGGGCTGCGGGGACGCCGCGGCGGCCGAGTCGCTCTTGCGGCGCTCGGCGCGCGCGGCAGCCTTGGCCTCCTTGTCACGCTGGGTGAAGGGGGCCTTGTTGGCTGGGCGGGTGGGCTTCTTCTTGGTGCCAACCAGAACCGAGGGGATGGCCACGCCGCTGGTGATCTTGGAGATGGTGAGCTCAATGTTGAAGCGATTCTCCTCGAAAACAGCGATCAGATCGTCTTCCTGCCAGTTGCTGAAGACGCTTTTGAGCGACTGGAGGGAGCGCGGGGCTGGGTGGATTAGCCAGGGGGAGGGGGGGGGGACGCGGGGCACATCGGACACAAAGGGCGGACAGAGGGGCACAGGGAGGGCGGGGGGGGGCAGGAGGGGGGCAGGAGGGGGGAGAGAGAAGGCAGGTCGAATGCGCACGCTGATCTCGCCCGGATACTTCGCCTTCACTGGGTTGA